ACCATATGTTTTACATTTTACGGGTCAATAAAGTGCGAAACCAAGAACGATTCTTTTCCCACATTAAAAAAACTGCGGTCGCTCACCAGTGTGTTTACACATATGTAACTTCAGCTGACTTGACGAGTAAAATTTTTTGGAGCAAATTTGGCATATAAAACTGCCTTCTCCTGTATGAATACACATATGTACCCTCAAAAAACGTTTTTCCGAATAAACTTTGCTGCATAAAGGACAAGGGAATGTTCGTTCACCTGTGTGAATGTTCATATGAATCTTTAAACTATACGCTGAAGCGAAATGCTTATTGCAAACTGAGCAAAGGAACCTTTTCTCCTTTATATGTGTTTCAAGGTGGCGTGTGAGTATGGACTGGGTTTTCCATAACTTTCCACATTGCCGGCACTCAAATAAGCCACGCCCAGTGTGAGAAGACATATGGAATTTCAGCCTGGACGCTTTTTTAAAGATCTTATTACAAAATGTACATATATGTAATTCACATCCTTGCGCTTTGTACGTCTTCATGTGCGCCTTTAATCTTCTCTCTCTTTGGAATATCATGTTACAATGTGGGCATATATGTGCACTTCTTTTGCCATGTACCAAACTACTATGTGATTGAAGATTTTTTTTATCTGGAAATGTTTGATGGCATTCGAGACACACTATTGGGTAAGTTGGATTCTTTGTCCTCACGACAATTTGGGTAGGAACCAATGAAACTGTTCCATTTTCAGTCACCACTCCTGCATATAACGGAGCTTCTACCACTTCGTCTGGTTTGCTGTTTCTATTTGGTATCACATTATTGTTATTATTACCGTAACCAGTCTGAACCCTGTTTAAGTTTTCATTCCTCAATAGTTGAGGCGCGCTGTAATATTTGTACATTTTACCTTGAGATGTTTCACCGACTTTCTGAAGCCGAATCAACGAATGCTTCGCACGATAACAATTTGACGTGTAGACCAAGTCACAGTCCAAGCAGTTGTAGTTTTTTGTATTGAGATGGTTCAGCAGATGACTCCTTGCAGCACTAAGTCCCATCAAAGACTCCTCACACAGCACACAAAAGTATGATGATATTTCGGATGGACTTGCAGTGTTCTTGGCATAACTGACAACACCATCAGTGTTATTTACAACACCATCAGTGTTATTTACAACACCATTAGTGTTATTTACAACACCATTAGTGTTATTTACAACACCATCAGTGTTATTTACAACACCATCAGTGTTATTTACAACATCATTAGTGTTATTTACAACACCATCAGTGTTATTTACAACACCATTAGTGTTATTTACAATACCATCAGAGTTATTTACAACACCATTAGTGTTATTTACAACATCATTAGTGTTATTTACAACACCATCAGTGTTATTTACAACACCATTAGTTTTATTTACAACACCATCAGTGTTATTTACAACACCATTAGTGTTATTTACAGCACCATTAGTGTTACTTCCAACACCATCAGTGTTATTTACAACACCATTAGTGTTATTTACAACACCATCAGTGTTATTTACAACACCATTTGTTTTATTTACAGCACCAATAGTGTTACTTACAACACCATTAGAAGTACTCGCAACACCATTATTGTTATCTCCACCATTATCTCTCTGTTGCACATGCATCCCTTTACTTACTTGAACTGTATTCTCAACTTCCTTACTTTTAGTTTTTGTCTCAGGTTTATTTCTAGTTAGCTGTAAAACATCCTTTTCAACTAGTTCAACAATACCACTTTCATTTATATCAGTAACTTCTGCACCTAATCCATTAGCAATTTCATCTAAATCGCTATCATCAAATTCGTTTCTTTCAATCATTTCTATATCATCTTGGATCTCCATTTTAAGTTCATTCTCAATATCACCTCCAGTACTATTTCTATACTCGTCTCTCTCAATTAGATCTATATCATCCTGTATTTCCATTTTAAGATCTGCAGCTTCCATTTCACTAATATCCAGATCATCTTCCAGTTCACTAATATTCAGATCGTCAACTCCTTCAATACCGGCAATGATATTTCTGAGGCCAGCCCTGTCAAGATTCATCTCTTCACACTCTGCATCATGCAGTAAACTTTCAACCACTTTTTCTGCATCTTCACTTGTAGGAATAGGATGCTCTGGGTTGTTTTCATAGTCATCTTCTGGTTCCACCTTGATAATTATTGTGCTAAAATCCTCTTCCATTTCTGGGTCTGAACTTTATCCGACTTTCCTCCTCTTTCAATGTCTAAGTTTTATATTTCATATTTTTTTGGAAGACTTCCTATAAAGACAAAGGTATTTTTTTTTTTTAATTTATAAAGTATCAATTCAGAATAAAAACACTGCATCCAGTATTCATTTCTTTATTTTTCTTAACCAATTTTGCAGACATACCAAATATTTAGACTAATAAAGTTTCTTTATAAGAAAATAAAAAAAAAAGTTTTAAAAACATTTTTTAAAGCCGACTAAAATATGCAACCTCTGGAAAAAAAACCCACCAAAAATCTGTATAAGAATGGAGACTGTGGCTTTTTGAGCCTTAACTTTTTCTTTGATTATGATACCATGTAATCATTGTAATAATTAGAATATCAATAAAACTTTTTTTCTTTTATAAAGTACTTTCATCTTGATTTTTTTCAATACAGTACAGCAGTTACAACTTGGAAATTCAGTAAGAAATCATGACATCCCATCAATTTTCTTTTCCAATCAATAGGCTATTCAAGTTTTGTTTGGTTTAGAACATATGTTAAGATTATAACATTCAAATGTATAAGTATAAAATCAGAACTGGTCTCACTTCTGTAAATTCTAACCATAATAGCAGGCTTAATGTTTTGGTAATGCTGCACACCCCAACATTTGACACAGTTAAATTGTATAAAATACATTCAGATAATAGGTTTCATGACTCTAGGTCAAATGCTTTTTGAGTTACATGCGACACAAAAGAGAACGGACGGACAGACAAGGGTAAATCTAAATGCCCCCTCCCCACTAAAGTGGAAGCACAAAAATACAGAATTTTCAACAGAGTTCCTAAAGAAAGCCCAACACAGCAAAGTTGAAAATTTTGCAGGATCAGTTTGATTGAGCCTGTTCATAAACAGTAATGGAAAGTGCAATTTACTGCCCCCTCCCCCGCCCCAACCAGCTTAAGTAGAATTCTACATTTAACATGCACTGGAAAAATTTAGATTTTTTAAACATCCGCAGTTTCTCATTTCCAGTATTTTTTTTTTCATTTCAATGAAATTATACATGTTGTCCCATTACCCAAGCATGTCCCACTGAACCATATATGGTGTCCCACAGTGCCCCTAGCTTGTATTCTTGCCCCTAGTATTCTATTGCATATCTCCAAGTCAACTTAATTATTTTAGGTTCAGTTAGTTATCTGTTACATCTAGTTCATATTGTCCTTTTCATCCACGAAAGCGAGCATCAATCTTTCAGATATGTTAAGTAGGAGAAAGAAAATTATGATTTTTGTCCCAGAGTGCCCGCAGTCTATCTTTCAGCACAGGAGCTTGAAATTCTATCAATAACCGCTGAAAAGTCAGATTTAAAAAAAAATCCATACCTATATATAACGTGTTATTTTTATATATATAAGTATAGATTTTTTTTAAATCGGACTTTTGAGCGATTATTGATAGAATATCAAGCTCCTGTGCTTTCAGTTTCATGCCAATGAAATGTCTTAAATGTGGCATTATCCTGGTTTAACTTTGTAACTCCCATGTAAACAAAAATATATTACCTTCATATTACAAACGAATGCTGTGAAAACGACAGATAATCAGTTGATTTCCATTAAAATATTAATCACGTTTTTCACCTGGGCGCTTCCGCAGTAATATTCCAAAACAAATGGGGTCACTAAACAAAGGGAAGTAACTATACAAACATGTGCGTGTAAAGACTATTTCGCGGCACGGTCATTTTATACCCGAATCGAACATGATCGAGTGCCGTATTGGAGTATTATATTTTATAAATGAAAGAAACATGGTGTACGATAAATCCCATGGGATTTTTGTGTTAATTTAATCATTATCAATCTGTCACTGTACTACGATATTATACCAAAATATACCAGGAATTCCAGAAAAATTCAAGTTATGTTTGTTAACATGCTCAACAGTGTGAGTTTCAAAGCATACTGTATATTCCTGCATGCAGGAGTAATGGAGAAAGAAACATGCAATATGGACAGATTGTTGTCATCATGCGATGTTGTTGCACATTTTTATGCGAGACTCTGGGTACATTGTATACAATGATTGTTTTAATATCAAAACATTACTATCAAACAGTCGGGCATACTTCCTGATCGGGAAACAAGGGGATTCCCCTTCAAGGATTCCCGATCAGGCAACAAACGTCAAAATCCTTTCTTATCGGGAAGTTTTTTTTTTTTTTGGCCTTTTTTACGTAGTTCAAGAAAAATGACCGGTGCATAACAGTTTTCAATCCACTTCAATATGAATATCACACTTTAGTTCAGAAAAGATGCATCTAAAATCCTACCGAGTCATTTTCTTTTAAAATGTCTACAATTGAAATAATCTGAAAGTGAACTTAAGTAATGTTTTTAGATTTTACCAAAAACTAGCCACTTCCCGTTTTGGGAACGTTGCTTCCTGATCAGGCATCTAGCAAAATATTCATCATTAAAATGTTAAGATACACTGCTTTCCAATCTGGAAGTACTTTATATTTGTAGTAGTACCTGGCCTTGATTATTAGAAATTGCTAAGCCTGGTCAGTTTTTAAAGAATGTGGCAATAATTCAATCACAACGAGTGGAATATATCTGGCGAAGCTTATGTCCTTGTTAGGCGTAATAATATCTATCAAAACATTAGCTATATTTGAAGGACAGTACAAAAATCATCATTATAATACAAAAGTTTCATATTGTTAAGATTGTATAGCACGTGTTGAACAACATTGCACAGAGAGTAATTTCTCAAAACAATTACCATGCAGCTCAAATAAATAAGTTAAATTAAATGTTGACTAGAGCTCAATAAAATATTATTTTTTTGGCTATAGCTCAAGACGTGTTTGCACACTACATGTGTTTGTAGTGACTGTGTCAAATTTCTGTTTTCTGAAACTTAAAGTGTATAAAGCTATATATCTGATGCAAAAATTATTGTTTGAATTTTAAAAAAGTATACTTCCAAAATGATTGTATGAAATAAATCAGGTACGTATATTAACCATTTTGTTTAACTTACTAATGATAGATTTCATTCAATTTCAGCTAGAAAGGGGGGCATATATGTCATTATGATATTTCTTGTTTTATTTATTTATTTATCTTATATTTTATTCATTTTTTTTCTAAATTAAAAGTGGCTTAAAGGGTATATTCTATATCTTAAGAAATATTTTAATAAAATTTATCCACAGCAAAATTATGCTGGTTCCATATTATCATATGGTTAATTCCCGAAAAAAGTAATGTAACATAGAATGTCTCTGTTATTGAATACACATGAATCCTGTACAGGAACACAATATTGTTTTGCTATTTCAAGTAGGGTTTTATCCGTTTAGTAATGATTTTGTGCTTGTGCCATTTGTGTTTAAGGTAATAAATTACCATATTTATTCAGATATGGTAATTTATTACCTTAAACACAAATGGCACAAGCACAAAATCATTACTAAACGGATAAAACCCTACTTGAAATAGCAAAACAATATTGTGTTCCTGTACAGGATTCATGTGTATTCAATAACAGAGACATTCTATGTTACATTACTTTTTTCGGGAATTAACCATATGATAATATGGAACCAGCATAATTTTGCTGTGGATAAATTTTATTAAAATATTTCTTAAGATATAGAATATACCCTTTAAGCCACTTTTAATTTAGAAAAAAAATGAATAAAATATAAGATAAATAAATAAATAAAACAAGAAATATCATAATGACATATATGCCCCCCTTTCTAGCTGAAATTGAATGAAATCTATCATTAGTAAGTTAAACAAAATGGAGAGCAGCTGGAATAAAATATATATTATCATATAATTGTAACTATTAGCATCTACTTTGAACATTCAAGGTTATTGTGACCTTGTCCTCTGACCTAGTGACCTCAAAATCAATAGGGGCCATCTACTAGTTATGAACAATTAAAATGTGAAACATAAAAAATTGATAACTTGAAGATAATGCGTAGAAACCATTCTGACATGTAACGTCCTGTGACCTTTGGCCTAAAGACCTAAAAATCGAAAGGGGTCATTTACTAATCATAACCAATCATTAAGTGAAATTTAAAAGATTTAGTAATAAATAGTTTTCAAACTAATGAACGGAAACCATTCTGACATTTAAGGACCCTGTAACCTTTAAAATGGTGACCCCAAAATCAATAAGGGTCATCTACCACATATGACTAATCAACACATGAAATAGGAAAACTTTGTGATAAATACTTTTCAAGATATAGTGCGGAAACCATTTTGACATTCAAGCAGCGTGACTTTGACCTTTGACCTAGTGCCTCCAAAATCAAAAAGGGTCATCTTCTAGTTATTACCAATCAATATGTGAAATATGAAGACTTCTAATAAAAAAATAATGTTAAATACCAGTTAAAAAAGATAATGAGCGGAAACCATTCCGAAATTTAAAACTCCTGTAACTTTGACCTTTAAGCTAGTTACCCCAAAATCAATATAGGTTATCTAATAGTTATGACCTTAACAAACATACTTAAGGTCACTGTGACCTTGACCATTGACCTAAAGACCCCAAAATCGATAGGGTCATCTACTAGTTACGACCAATCAATATGTGAAATATAATGACTTAGTGATAGATAGTTTTCAAGATAATGAGCTTAAACCATTATGACATTTAAGGTCCCTGTGACCTTGACCTTTGAGGTAGTGACCACAAAATCATTGGAGACATCTACTACATATGACTAATTAATTTGGAAATATGAAGACTTTGTGAGAAATAGTTTTCAAGATAATGAGCGGAAACCATTCTGACATTTAGGGTCCCTGTGACCTTGATCTTTGACATAGTGACCCTCAAAATCAATAGGTGTCATCTACTACAAAAGTTATGACCAATTAGTATGTAAAATATGAAGACTCTGTGTTAAATAGTTTTTAAGATAATAACTGAGGTCTACTGATGGACTGACAGACCAACATTAACGTCACATAACATAACATATATTTTATTCAACAAAAAATTGTATACATACAATTTATA